AAGACCGGAGGAGGCGGCCAAAACTCTAGACGCGTTTGGAGCTGCAAAGTCGCTAAACAGGGCTCGAACCGAACGTGTGACCCCACCAATGGATTCCTCGTTCGGAGAGCAATCCATTGGTGGGGTCACACGGTCGGTTCGAGTCCCATTTAGTGACTCTGGAGCTCAAAACGCGTCTAGAGTTTTGGCGGCCTCCACCGGTCTTCTGGCCCACTGTGCAGAGCGCAGCGGAGCGAAAGCAGGCATTCCTCGCTCAACAATTTCATTCCGCGCGGCAGGAAGGCAAGGCGGCGGTATTCCGGTGTAGGTGACAAGGCGTCTGCCCGCGTCCGCCGGGCGCCACCGAAACCCATCAACCCCCGTCACCTTCACCCCGGAAGGCATCCCGGCCGAGCCGAGCCGGAGGCAAAAAAAGGCCGAGCCGAGCCGAGCCGAGCCGGGCCGAGCCGGGCCGAGCCGAGCCGAGCCCGAGTGAACGTGATAGCGGCAGCAGGTGCAAGGTTCGTGACTGCTTATCGACCTCCCCGCCCCTTGGCTGGCCGCGCGGGCCGCGCGCGTGTTTGAACGTCAAGAAACGCGTCCTCGTTAAAGAAGCAACACGGTGACAGCCCCGGTGGCCGCCCTGGCTGCCCCGCGCGTGCTTCCAGCGCTTCCGGCGCTTCGGTCAGCGCGCCTGCAATATTGAGTGCGCGCGTGTCTGGCCTGGCCGGCGCCATTTTGAGCGCCAAATTCCAAGTCACCGCCAATTATTGATGCCGCCTCGCCAGTCGCCTCGGCAGTCCGTCGCCTTGCCGGTGACCTGATTAATGTTGCTCGGCCCCGCTGAGCAGTGGCCCGGAAGGCCGGAGGAGGCGGTCTAAATTCGAGACGCGTTTTGAGCTCCAGAGTCGCTAAATGGGACTCGAACCGAACGTGTGACCCCGCCAATGGATTGCTCTCCGAACGAGGAATCCATTGGTGGGGTCACACGTTCGGTTCGAGCCCCGTTTAGTGACTCTGGAGCTCAAAACGTGGCTAGATTCGGAATCGGGCCTCAGATCGCGACGCGTCCGGCGTCTATTGCAGGTCAGGGCGAGCGTGGGGCCGCCGAGTTGGGGCGGACGAACTCTGTCGTCTCCATTGTGTGAGGGGGGTGGCCGCCCCTGCCGCCCCCTGCCACCTTCTGCCGCCCCTGCCGCCCCCTGCCCCCTGCCGCCCCCTGCCGCCCCCTGCCGCCCCCTGCCGCCCCCTGCCGCCCCCGGCAGTGCATGGCCAGACTGCCCCTCCCTCCGCCACCTGCTCCTATATTCATCGGGCCCCGCCCTGCCCTGCCCTGGCCCGCTCCTTAACGCCATTAGTGACTCTCTTTTCTCGTCGCACGCAGCCACGCCCCGCCCAGCCGCCTGGGGCCGCGCAGACCCGCCCACGCTCCCGCCGGCGCCGCGAGCAGTGTATGTCGCGGTTTACAGCCCAGGGGAACGAGTACTAGGGTGTGGTCTTGATCCCGCGTACTGCAACCCCACCCCGGTAAACCAACGAACGGGTCTTGGAAACGCCGGACGGCGCACAGTGTGCCAGAAGACCAGTGGAGGCGGCTAAAATTCTAGACGCGTTTTGAGCTCCGGAGTCGCTAAACTGGACTCGAAGCGAATGTGTGACCCCACCAATGGACTCCTCGTTCGGAGTGCAATCCATTGGTGGGGTCACAAGTTCAGTACAAGTCGCATTTAGCGACTTTGCAGCTCAAAACGCGTCTAGAATTTTTTCCACCTCCACCGGTCTTCTGGCCCACAGTGCGGTGCGTGCACCGGCAATCGTGCAGCGTCCAGTGTGGGTGCGAGAGAGACAGCCTACCCGTCTCGGACTCTCGGACTCGGCCTTGCGGTGCACTATTGGCAGGCAAGATCCATGCGCCGCGCTGTGAATAAGTGAAGACAGTGTGTGGTGCGTCCCGCCGCCAGGGCTCTGTCTCTCTCGCACCTGCAGGGGGCGCCCCGTGAGTGCGAGAGAGACAGAGCGACGAAGTCTGAACAGGGCGGCCGCACTGCGGTTGCCGCGGTTGCCGCGGCCGCCTGAACGTCACTCCGGCGCGGTTCGATGCGGCCCTCTGCCCACACACTGGACGAAACACGCTAGCCATTTCATTTCCCGCATCGCAGCCAGTTTCTTGGCTTTCCACGGCTTCTTTTTTGTTGTTTTGTTTTTGCTGCTGCTTTTCCGCGGTGTACACACGGGAGCGACGCGGCAGCGCAGTGTCCGTAAAAGTGTTTCACGCGACCCAGAGCCAGGCCGGTGCGGAAAAGCCCTTTCCCGGAGGCCCAAATAAAAACTTGTCAAATTTGCACCCGACTTCTCGAAAGTTGGACGTACAAGTGGGCTGGGTTTGTTGCGTTTGCCTCGGAGTTACGGCGGGTCCTCTTCGAGTTGTTGTAAAACCGAACGCAGGCAGTGGCGGCTGTAATCACGTCAGCGCGCGCGCGCGTGTGTGTGTGTGGTGTGTGTGTGTGTGTGTGTGTGCGCGCGCGTGTGTGTATGCGTGTGTGTGTGTATGCGTGTGTGTGTGTGTGCGTGTGTGTGTGTGTGTCTGTGTCTGTGTGTCGGAGAGGCATGTGCGATTGATGGGTTTACCGCAGGGAGTGTATTCCGAGCGGCGCCGGCAGGCCGGACTGTTGCGTTTTACTCTGGAAATCCCGGAAATCCTGCACTCGGCTGCCAACTTCATCAAAACCCGTTCCGACACAAATGATAGAAGAACATTCCTTTCCGTTTTCCTGATTGTGTTTTCTTGTCGCGTTTTTCGTGAATATCTGTCCAGCCGTGCGAAGGGTTGCATTTCCAACTGGGACTGGCTCACAATGCTTGGACTCTATCGTATGGACTCCATTCGAGGAAGTTCACCTCTGAGTACACTCCAGTATTCCCCTGTCATTTCATTTCCCCGTTTCCGCCAGTCGTCTTTCTCACCTGGCGGCTTTTCGCCGACGTGCCACAGTGGGCTAGAAAACAGCGGAGGCGGCCAAAACTCTGGACGCGTTTTGAGCTCCAGAGTTGCTAACTGGGACGCGAATAGAACGTGTGACCCCACCAATGGATTGCTCTCCGAAAGGGAAGTCCATTGGTGGGGTCACACGTTCGGTTCAAGGCCCATTTGGCGACTCTGGAGCTCAAAACGCGTCCAGAGTTTTGGCCGCCTCCGCCGGTCTTCTGGCCCACTGTGCGTCCCTAATCAAAGCGGGTGTTTGGCATTCGGCCTGCAGGTAACAAGGACCCTTGTATTGATGAATTCGTTGACTACGAATCGCTTCGCAGAACGGGGATGGAAGGCAAAGCAAGTGCCCCGGCAGACTTCCCCTCTCTCGCGTGATAATCAAGATTTGGGGAAAAGGGAGAAGGTGGTGGGCTCGATTTCGATTGCCGATATCGGTTCTTAGTCTTAGGGCGTCTTTCACCAGCGCCTCTACCGGCCGGGTAGCGTACCTCGGCGAGCTTACCCGGCCGGTAGGCAAAATTTCGTTTTTCCCACGAGTTACCAGCGGGGCAGTGAAGCTACCAAGGTGGTAACTTTACTGGTCGAGATTCGGGCTAGTAAACGTTTACCGCAGAGGAAAACAGAGAAAATCGCCAAGATGAACGCCATAATAGAGGCTGCTCTCAACATCGTATTTGAAAGCGACGACGAGGAGGAAAATCTTGAGCGAGTTCCACGTCCAAGGTTCATTCGTGATAGATTGGAACATTTTACTGACATGGATGACAAAGATTTTATTCGAAGGTTTAGATTTACGAAAAGAGGCTGTCTTCATGTGTTGGAACTGATTGAAGAGAGGTTAGAATATCCAAGTGACAAGTTAGTATTTTGTTTTCATTTTTGTTCAATGGCAGAGTCATCTTTAGCGCTTTTCTTCAAAATTCAATATTTCTTTTATTCATAGGAACTATGCATTTTCCCCCAATAAACCAGCTGCTCTTGTGCATGAGATATTACGCAACTGGCTACACTCAAATCTGTGCATCGGATTTTAGTGGTGTGAGCGAGGCAACAGCCCACAGAATTATCCACAGAGTCACAAGAGCTATAGCGTCTCTTTACAGACAATTTGTTTATCTTCCTCGAACAGAACAGGAAAGTCTTGAAACGCAAGCCGGCTTTTATAGCATCGCCCGTTTCCCTGGGTCATTGGGCTATGGACTGCACACACGTCAAGATTCGCTCTCCTGGTGGTCAATATGCAGAATACTACAGGAACAGAAAATCATACTTTTCCCTGAATGTGCAGGCAATTTGTAATTCCAAGTTGGAATTTTCAGATGTTGTTGCCCGTTGGCCAGGCAGCGTCTTCGACCAAACTATCTTTGACAGTTGCCGGCAAAGGGCTAAATTTGAGGCAAATGATTACAGAAATACCTTTCTCCTGGGTGATGGAGCATACGCCTGTCGAACATATTTAATGCCTCCCATGGACAATCCTGTGGAACCCGAAGAAATTCTATATAACGAGTCCCAAATCAGGACCAGAAACCCAGTTGAACGCTTTTTTGGGGGTTTTGGGAAAAGAAGGTTCCCTGTCCTTGCATTGGGTATAAATGTATCCCTGGAAAATTGCATGCCGATCATTATTGCCACTGCAGTACTGTTTAACATATTGAGAAGAGCTAATGACCCCCAACCAGGTGATGACCCAGCGCTCCGTTTGCCTGCCCCATGGGAAGCTTTGATAGAACGGGGCCAAATTATGAGACCTTATGTCGAGCATAATCGTAATGGCCGGAGATTGACTGATTTACCAAGAAGACAACTCATCAATGATTACTTCAAATTTTGGGTTTGAACTTCATCCCTAGAAATATTTTGTTCTGTATAATTGAGAAATTCTAGATGTGGGATGAATAAAAAAATTTGTAATGGAATTTGAATCTTATTATTTATTATTAATACAACAACATACTTTGTACTTTGTTTTGGGGCACTTTGTACTGTGTCGGTTAACAAATAATAAAAACTAGAAACAAAGAATTGTTGCTTATATCACTAAATCACTATCCTAATAATAAAAATCAAAAAGAAGCGTTTGTAACTACATTCACAGACATTGCAATAGACATACATGGCACATAAGCGAGTTATAATATTACATAACTAGAATAACATTAAAATCACAAGGCTATCAGACTGAATTACAATATAAAATAATAATACACATTGGTAAGAGCACATTATTTGGTGTTGAAAAAAAAGTTCTCAAAAAAGGAACATATAACTTAAATAAACTGAATTCTTGAATACCGACTGTGAACAATCAATTTTAAAAGGGGCTACCAAAATGAGCGAGTCAGACTCCTGATCTAAATTTTTTGCACTTGTCGGGTACAGCTAATTTGCTTCCTTGCAGATGTGCCGTTCAAAATAAATGAACAAAGAATAATGGTTTCCTCTGTACTTTCAGCAGTGAGCCTTCAGTGAATAACAAAGCTGAGTCAACTCTGTAACGTTTATGAAGCACAGGGAAACAAATAAAAAGTAGTATAAGCTGTGAGGCATAAAATACTTTTTCTTTGTTTCTCCTAGTGCTCAATAAACGTTACAGAGTTGACTCAGCTTTTTATTCACTGATAAGGATCACCTAAAACTACACAGGAAAATTATATACTCACTTCAAACAGGGCCCTTTTGCTATGAAAAAAATTCATTGCAAAAATGATATGAGTGGTGTCTAACTTGCTCATTGTGGTAAAAAAAATATTAGAAAGAATGAAAGTAGAGGTGTTGTCTGGAGGATTCTGTAAAAAAAACAATAAAGTACAAAAAAAAAATGGCACAAAAAAATAAAAACCCGTACAATACATCTTTTTCTGGAGGCACAAACCCTTTAGCAACAGAAAATAAAAACCACTTATGTTAGTAACAACGTTGGCACAGGTACTTTTATCACAGCGAACAGTTCCAAAAATTTTTGCAACTGTGGCATGTGTACTCTACCTTTGCTTGCACACCCTTGCAGAGACAGCCTAATAGCTTTGCAGATTTCTATAGCCAACATTAAAAGTACTCTTTGCAAATTATTTTTCAAATTTGTTTTGTTATGATAAAATTTTCAAGTTACTCTTAAAGTGCATAAAACTAAGTCAAATATATAATAGATAACGAATTTAACTAAGGAAAAATGAATGGCTTAAAAGCAGCCAATAATAATTAAAAATAGGAAAATTAACTAGGCAATGCCAGTGCTGGTTCGTGCAATGTAAATGTAGGGACAAAACGCCACAGAATTAAAAAAATAAATTACTTATCTAGCCCCAGCTCCTTCTTCATTTTCAAAACTTGCAGCTCCACCAACACTGCCTCACTCTCTTTTCCCCCTTTTTTCTATTTGGGAAAAACTCCTCATCCCCCTTCTTCTGCTCCTCCATGTTGGCCTTAGTTGCAAGAGCCAGATCCAGCCTGGCCGCCACCAGTTTGGCCTGGTTCTCATCAGGCGGAGGAGCAGTGGAGAGCGATGGCCTTCTTCTCTTCATTATTTTGGCATACTCCAGTTCCTCAGCCACCGTCCGCTTTCGAGCAGACTCTGCAGAGGTGGTTGGGGTGCTGGAGTTCGACATTTGGGTGCCCGATGTGCTCGGCGTGCTTCCATCAACCATCTTCAGAGCCTGAGGCTTCTTGGAGTACAGGTGACGTGGCACAACATCGGACCAATTTTGTTGTGGAACAACAATGCCCGAGCAGTCCAGGAGTTCAATGGTAGCCTGCAACAAAAATTAAAAATAACAAAAGAAAATTAAAGTACATTAATTTATATTTATACACATATTTATGTATCTGTGATAATCTATAAAATTATGGATAGCATTACAGCACAATACTCACAGTTTCCGCTGTTTGCAGAGTATCGGATGTGCCCACCACAAACAAATCTCCAATTGTATTTTAAATGCAAATAATTTTCAATAAATTTTTTGCATGGTACATGCTAGTTTGCATCTGTCTACAGATATAGTGCTTTAAAAAAAAGGGTAGTTGACAGACTACTTACAGCACTGGAAGAATCAGTCTCTGGTATTTCAGCATCTCCTCCATATTGCTCATTGAGGCCCACTCCGGATGGCCCAATCACCTCCAGCACTTTATCGTCCAGCTTAGTTGGGTCGCCACTTTTGTTCCTTTCACCTCCACCTGTAATGAACATTGTAATAATGGCAATGAATGGAAGAAAATGAAAGAGATAACCTCAACATTTGAGAACCTCTAACAGCAACTACTAACCTGTGCACACCGTCTCCCTTTTCTGAAAAGCCTGACTTTTTCTGGCCTTTTTCTTCAATTCGCCCCACAGGTTTCTTAAATTCTCCTCAGTTCTATGGAAAATTGAGGATAAGTTGTTGAAGTCTACCTGGAGGCGGCTCCAGGCCGCCGCCTTTTCGCCCCGCGTCAGGGCGTCGGTCTTTTTGTTTTCAATGACAGATTTATATTTTGGGAGGAGAACCTCCACAAACAGCTCTATCTCCGACTCGGTGAAATTCGGGGACCTCTTCTTTTTAGTTTCCGATGACATGGTGAACTTGGTCAAAGACAATGTAGGTGGACTCGCTGTTGTTGATGTTTTGCGCGGGCTCGACTTGTTTGGACTTGCTTTGTTTATTTGGGTCAAACACGGCCTCCTACGTTTCCTGCTTTCCTACGCACGGCATGCTGGATTCTCCCGAGAATGGCAACGTCGCACGGTTAGCTACCGGCCGACCCCCTACCCTGCGGATAGGCGTGGTGAAACGCACGAAGACCTACCGCCAGGATAGGGCCGGCTGGTAACTTACCGACTGGGCAGCTACCCGACAGATAGCGCTGGTGTGGTGAAAGACGCCCTTACGGGTGGAAAGCGGGGCTGGATCGTTTTCCCGCGCCGGTTACCTACTGTACTAGAAGGAGCGGATTATATTACGGTACCTCCTTCGAAAAGCGCTAAAATTTCGGGTTTCGTTAGAACTCGCTATTTTGGGGGAGCGTCAGAAAAACCCGTCAGTTTGGGGGCCGCCCGGGAGAAACCGTCATCTCGCAGCGCGTGGAGAAACCGCTCACCTCCGCGGGGCCCGGCGCGGGGTTAGGTTATGTTGCCGCTTTTTTTAGTTAATTCTCCCAACCCAGTAAACATTTGAAGCTATTTAGATGTAAAACAAAGTTCTGTTTTGACGAGGCATTTTATTAAATTTGCCCCAAAAAAAGGTCAGTGCATATGAGTACATTTGAAAATCTGGAGCCGCCGCCCGTATTTTGGGGAAAGGGGAGCGGTTTTTCCGAGCGCGCTGCGAGATGAGGGTTTTTCCCCGGGCGGCCGCCAGCTGAGCGGGTTCTTCTGACGCTCCCCCAAGATGAGCGAGTTCTAAGCGACCCCCAAAATTTAGCGCTTTTCGATAGGAGGGACCCATTATTTAAAACCCCAGAGGGCTGCAACCTCTTTTCCTTTTTTCGCTTTGTTGGCCGGCGAATATCCCAACTTTATTATGCGCGATATCGGTTCCAGGAAATCGGAAACGAGACATGAACCAGACTCCTCGCTGTGCGAGCGGCGGGAAAAAATAGGGCCGGAAGTAGTTCAGTAGGACAAATCTCCGACGTTCCGGTTTGAAAGCAGCAGAAACGCACTTGAAGAAGGGTGACGCTGTGAGCATTCCAGGCTCAGCGCGCAGTGGGACGGACCGGTGCAGGCGGCCGAAACACCAGACGCGTTTTGGGCTGCAGAGTCGCTAAACTGGCCTCGAACCAAACGTGTGACCCCAGAAATGGATTCCTTGTCCGGAGAGCAATCCATTGGTGGGGTCACACGCTCGGTTCGCGTCCCATTCAGCGACCCTGCAACTCAAAACGCGTCCGGGATTTCGGCCACCTCTACCGGTCTTCTGGTCCACTGTGCAGCGCTTCTGCCAGTGCGGGTGGTTTCTGAAGTGTTAAGGGAATACAATGATCCTTCATCAGGTCAGGTGGAGTGCAGGGTCGCGGCCTCCTCGGCCTTCCGGCCGCGGAGCGCTAGATTCGATTCCGCCCCAGACTGCTCGCGGTGCTCGCCGTGACGCGCCGCGTCTCCGAGGACGTCCGCCAATTGGGTTCGCGGCCGCGGCAGCACAGTGGGCCAGAAGACCGGCGGGGGAAGACAGAACTCTAGACGCGTTTTGAGCTCCAGCGTCGCTGAATGGGACTCGAACCGAACGTGTGACCCCACCAATGGATTGCTCTCCGAACGAGGAATCCATCGGTGGGGTCACACGTTCCCCATTCGGCGACTCTGGAGCTCAAAACGAGTCTAGAGTTTCGGCCGCCTCCACCGGTCTTCTGGCCCACTGTGCTGCGTGCCCTGCGAATTTCCCCGCCTCGCGCTGCCGCCGCCAAGTGAGCAATACCATCGCGGAAAGATATCCGCGCGTAAAGATGTAGTAATACGGCGACGGGCGGCGCGGCGTTGGCAGGCTCGCCAGGAAGATGTTGCGGCCAAGTATCATGCAATTGAATTCCACGCACAGGGCGGCGCGCGCAGTGCGGGGCGACCCTTGCTATGCCCTGCGCAATGTTCATTGGGGCGCGAGGACGTTTAGCCCTCCTCTGCCAAGGGCTGGCAAGGGCTGGCTGGGCGGGCGGGCTGTATCAACAGGGACAGCCCGTCTGATTTGATCAAGGGCTCGGTAAATAGATGGGCCGTCCGTAAACAATAAGCTATCGGGTGGCTTGATTACGGAGAGTGATGAAAAGGTTCCGACGGAAATTGGTTTTCTGGTCGGCGACTTTGGCGACGAGATTGATGCCGGAGTGCATCGCGGAGTGCGCCGTGAATAGTGGAGCAGTGCTCCGCGCATAGCAAGCAGCCTGGAGGGGCCCGCCAGCGCTGGGCGTTGAACCGCCGACCTCCGCGGGGGCCGTCGGGGCGCTAACCAACCCCACTAGCCGAATATAGCCGGGCCTTCAGGGACACTGCGCGGCTCGGCTCGCTGGCCTGGCTGGCCTGGCTCTGGCTCAGCGATTTATGACAGCGTCTCTCTCAACTTGTTGTGGCCATCCCGCTTGACTTTATGGACCTCGACACCCCTATGGCCCCGTGCACCCTAACACCCTCGCGCTAGGGCCAGAAGACCGGTGGAGGCGGCCAAAACTCAAGGCGCGTTTTGAGCTCCTGAGTCGCTGAATAGGGATCGAACTGAACGTGTGACCCCACCAATGGATTGCTCTCCGAACGAGGAATCCATTGGTGGGGTCACACGTTCGGATCGAGTCCTATTTGGTCAAACCCCGTCTACAGTTTCGGCCGCCTCCATCTTCTGGCCCACTGTGTGTTTCGCCGTGCGGAAAGCTTGCCCGAGCTTGCCAGTGGTGTGCGGCTACACTGTCACTTTACGCTCATTTTAGAGTGCCGTGGCGCGGCGCTGCGGGGCGTGGTATGCGGTGCGGTTTTCGAGCAGGGGGAGATGGAAGTGCCGCTGGATCTGCCGGGTGTAACATCTCAGGCCGAAGCACCCTCTAAACGGACCCGGTATGTGCTGCTGGCTGTGTCTGGGCCGGGGGGTGGGGCGAGCGGTTGCTAGGGTGCAGCGAACTGAGTCGAATTCACGCCGGCTTGTCGTCACAACAACGCCGAGTGGTTGCGAGCTAGTTGGCTACTCGGCAACAAAATTCCAATTCCCGCAGGTTGCCAGCCGTGGCTTTCACCCTGCCAGGCTCGCCCCGCCATTGGCTTCACTCGAACGCATATCGTTTTTGCACCGAACCGTGCGCGGCTAGATCGATTCGCACATCGGCACTCCCAAACTATCGGGGCCAGTTCGCGAACTTGCGCCGGTAAAGTCCGCGGACAGCGCGGTGCTGCGCGGTCGCAGGTGGTGTGACGAGGTGGCCAACTTGGCCAACCGGACGGTCGCTTAATTGCTGGCAATTCACTTGAGGCGGGCAGGCCGTGGCCGGGCCATGCATCAGCCATTGGCAGGCCGGTCGTAACGGCGCTGCACTGCAGGCCGCTCTGACCAATCCGGAGGGGGAGCTGGGTCACGTGAGTGGGGTGTGACGTCACCGTGGGCCAGAAGACCGGTGGAGGCAGCCAAAACTCTGGACGCATTTTGAGCTCCAGAATCGCTTAATAGGGATCGAACTGAACGTGTGACCCCCACCAATGGATTGCTCTCCGAACGAGCAATCCATTGGTGGGGTCACGCGTTCGGTTCGGGTCCCAGTTAGCGACTCTGGAGCTCAAAACGCGTCCTGAGTTTCGGTCGCCTCCTCCGGTCTTCTGGCACACTTGCTGTCAAAAGCGTTGCCTGGCTGAAGGCAGTGCTCAACAGGTGGACAGGCAGTCACGCACGGCAACGGCATCCGATACGTCACACACCCAGGTAATTAACAATCAAATAATTATTTCGTCCGTTGTTCACGAACGAGGCGACACGACAGCGGGCGTGCATTTTAAAGCAGGCCAATTATGGCGCATTAGGGAATCCACGAGACAGTTCCTGTTTTTATTTTTCCAGCGATTCAATGGTGTTCTATTTTCTCACCGATCTCTCAAGGGTGGTTTCCTTTGGCACGCCACCACCTCCGGCAAGTGCCATCAGCAGCACACGAGAGTGCTTGGTGTTGATTCCCCGTGCTTTGAAGGCGTTTATTTTTCTGCCAGTGTACGCCACGAATTTGAGCGCACCGCGTGACGCGGCTCCGCACAGTGGGCCAGAAGACCGGTGGAGGCGGTCCAGAGTTTTGGCCGCCTCCACCGGTCTTCTGGCCCACTGTGCTCCGGCCCGCCGCGCCGCCCGGAAAGTCCCCGTTCGTTTTCACCTTTCCTTTCTAAGGAAGCCAATTTGGCCGAGGACGCTCCACTCGGTCCGCTTGGCGCGCCTGGCGCGCTGGCAGACTCGCGGCGGGGGGTGGGGGGTGGGGGGTGAGGGGTGAGGGGGGGCGTGGCTGCGGGGTTTGTAACGCTGGCCTATTGACTCATGTGTCGCTGGCTCATTATTCCAGTCTCTTAACCCGACCCGGGGAGCTTCGCTCCCAGCTTGGCTCCAGCTTGCCGGCTGGGGTCTCGTTCGCGGAAGATGCGCGGGACGGAGTGGCAAATTGGCAAGGTGGAGTGGCGGCGGGTTCGAATACCGGCAGGTCAAAAGAACCCGCTGCTGCTTCTCCCCCCACCCCATTTTCCGCAACTTATTCTTTTCTTTTCGTTTTCTCGTTGTCGCATGAGCTACAGTGGGCCAGAAGACCGCACTGGTGTAAATCAACTCAGAAATTTTCTGATACTTTTGCATATCAGAACATATCTCATGTCTGAGTTCTGATGTTTTTTCGGACACCTATTTCTGATGTTTGTGTTTCTGATGCCTCAATTTTCTGATGACTTTAGTTCTGATAACATTGGCTGGACTCATAAAGAAATATATCAGAACAATCATTTTCTTTTCTAGATATATATATTTTGATCTACATGAGACTCGGAAACGGGAAAAACGTCTTCAGGGGATCGAAACCGAGTCCGATCCAAATCTGCAGTCCAAATTGAGCTCGCTCGCCATCAACTCTCAAAAAGACAGTAAATGTGATCCGATCTCATTGAGATAAAAACTGGCCTAGCCAAATCTTGCAAACAAGACACTCACCAAATTTGAAATTGAAATTACGTAAACTTTCTATTATGCAGGGATCTCATTTTTTTGAACACCAGACATCAGAAACATTTCTGACGGTTATATTTCTGATAAGTAGCAGTTATCAGAAATCAGATCGACTTATCAGAAAGGCCTCTTTTTCT